CGCTATTAAATTACAGAATATAGTGTGTATTATGCAAAACGTCGACGGCAAAGGATACTTACAAAATCCGATGCTAACTAGGGAGGTCACTAGCAAACTTATCCCTCACTTACGGTCGCGTTGGTGCGATTATGCGGAGCACTACGGAAGTGCGGACGAACCGGACATTGTCACGCTATCCCGGTTCATGATGAGAGAGGCTGACCGTGCGTTAAGTCACGCCTATACGTCCGTAACGCCGACTAAGGAATCGCCCGTAAGACGAGAGGCGAGCCGTCGAAAAGGACAGTGTCCACACGCGGCGTAGAGGATAGGGCCCGCGACGTAAAGACGTTCACCGCCCAGGTGGACACCGGTAGTGCCTCATGTATGTGTTGTGGGGGTGAACACCCTATCGCCAAATGTAGGAAGCTGGCGCAGATGGGTTTGGACGACCGGTGGAAGTGGGTAAGGGAAGATGGGGTGTGCTTTAAGTGCTTAAGCAGCAAACACCGACGCATACGTTGTAAAGCTAGGAAGTGCGGCGTCGACGGCTGCAACGCCCCCCACCACGCTCTCCTTCATACCCGCAAGGCCCGCACGCCTGAAGCGTCAGTTAAACCGGATGAAACCGTGCTCGTCGCGTCGAGTGTTAGTAGTAGTGCGTCCGTACTATTGAAAGTGTGCCCCATAACCGTGCACGGACCGCGCGGCAAGGAAGTTGATACGTATGCGCTATTTGACGAAGGCTCTACCATATCATTGATCGACGACGACTTAGCTCGCGAGTTAGGAGCGGAACGACCGGTAAAGCCGCTCAATATTAGAGGCGTAAGTAATAGTCACGCGAGGCCAGTAGTAGGTTAGTTAATTTAGGGATACGTGGCAAGACGCGCAGCGAGATGTATAATATAAGCGCGCGAACGATAGCAGATTTAAAGATAGGCTCGCAGTCTGTGAGTAGGGAGTGCTTACGGTTGAAGCACTTACGCGACTTACCGAGTTCGGTGTGTTACGACGACGGGAAGCTGAGATTGTTATTAGGCGCCGACAATTGGCATTTAATAATTACCCGTAATTTGAGAATAGGACGTCGAAGGCAGCCCATAGCTGCACGTACGTTACTAGGGTGGGTAATTCAGGGAACCGTGCCGCGGTTAACGTGTAGGGAAGACGGCGAGACCGTATTACACGTAGCAAGCACTAGCGGACGGTCAGATAGGGACATCCGAACGTTTGCCAGTCAGGACGAGGAGCTAATGGAACTCCTCAAACGGCAGTATGAGATAGATTCCATAGGTATCTCGCTAAAGAGTAGGCCGCGATGGGATGAGGAGCGCGCTGTCGACATATTCCAGCGCACCGTCAAGAAGGTCGGCGAGCAATACCAAGTTGGACTGCCATGGAAGGACGACAACGTGTGGATGCCACCCAGCTACGAAATGGCAACTCGAAGACTACGGACGATTGAAAGGAAGATGGACCAGTCGCCGGAGTTTCGTGACGCCTACACAGCCCAGATAGACAACCTCCTGGCGAAACGATGCGCAAGGGAAGCCGAAGGAGAGGATCGAAAGAGCTGGTACCTGCCACACTTCGCAGTACGGAATTCTAACAAGCCGGGGAAGACAAGAGTAGTGTTCGACGCGGCAAGGGCGGAGTGCTGCGGCGGCCCGTCAGGAATAGCCGTCCTCCCGAGGAAGCTTAGGCTACGCCGGGGGGAAGATGTTACGGACGGCGAAGGCCGCCGCCCCGTTGCCCCTTCACACCCGGTTGCGCCCCGCGCACCCCGCACAGCGGCAGCAGATCACGCGATGTCGCCGCCCAATCAGCGCGCGGCATCGCCTTACGACGCTATTCACAAACCGAGACGCTCTCTTGCGGGCTATAAGAAGGGCGTTTTGGTCTGTGAGTCGTTCATTTCGGTTCATTCATTCGGAAGCGGCACTGGAAGAAACCTCAAGAGAAGAATCAAGACTCCATCGAAATTAAGAAGACTCCCCTCTGTATATAGTGTAGTGAATAGTGCCGCATTGTAAATAGTTTGAATACAGTATAGTTTGACAGTACCATCTTCTCTTTGAGCAACCCCCTAGCGTAGTCAGTCATACAGCCCATTAACAACAAGTAAATTCATACAGTCCACTTCGATCCACTATATCGATACTTCAGCCTTACCGCCTCCACCCCATCGCCGCAGGACTTCTCTAGGAAGCTCAAATCCGAAAAGAATAGCTAGGGTCATCTGCGCGTGAGTTTATTTATAGTAGACAAGCAGTTGTGCTGGTACAAGTCTACTTCACTCGTCCCTACCTCTGTGGCCCAATGGACCGGTAAACCGGTACGATCGGCGTCATCATCGGCGATCGACCGGTCGAGATGCAGCGAAAAGGCCATAAGTCACTACATAGATTCTGACGAACGCCCTTGAGATAGATCTATCCTACCAAACATGCTTTGACACGAGATACTTACTCATAGCTATTAATTCATATTGTATTCCATCAATGTAACGGTCGTGGCCTTTGAAGGTAGTGACATCGGCCTCGCAGTTGCACTTAAGAGGGGCTTCTTGCGAGGCCCCAAACAAACACGCTTTTAAATTTGTTATAATCTTAGAAGTGATCAAATTAATTAGTCATGTGTCATAAAGTCTGGAGGCATCGCATTTAAAGTGGCCTCGCGAGGCCCCTTTAAGTGCGAGGCCGTGGGCGTGGGCCCGCTTCGCCCACTCCTAGCTACGCCACTGACTCTACATCTATCCACGATTAATTGTGTAAATAAATTAAGTGTGGCAGAGCCATGCTGCAGCTAAGTAGTTGCAGCACAAATTGGTCGATTTGACCGGGGCAGGACTACGCTCTCGCAGAACACCAGCGTAAAATAGCAGCTTAATACTTTTCACTTGAAACAAACCGTTCCATCTTAGTTCTTAGGGGTGACAAACGCATCTGCATTGTGATTCTAAATCAAGTATAAATGTACTCGTAGATGTCTTCGGGCCTCAGCATCTTTTTACCATCAGGTGGTTTGTGTGCTCGTTTGTCATATTTATTTTGTAAAATATTACATCGACCTGAACTAAATCGAAACAACTAGACCGGAAAATTCCTCTACCTTGGAACTACGAGAAACAGCGGTATAATTATAAAGTTTACAATAAAAAATTAGTCGTTTACACATATATGCCAAGCGTGGTCGAGTATACATTCGATTACCTTGCTTCGCTCAATGCGCGGAGATGCGCCCTGCAGGTAGACATTTTTATAGACCGTAACTTCACCTTTTACTTGTGTAGGTGATGGATGCTCTCATATCGAAGCATTTCAAAATACCTTATGAGTAAATTAATATTGCACGCTTCTACGCGTCAGCTCTTCAAGGGAAACGTTGCGAAACGCATCCTCTAACAATGAACGCGGGAAGCGGGTTATTACGGCAAAAACTATTGGATATCCGTTTGTTTATTATTTTCTATTCAGTTAAACGCCGCGTTTCTTACTTGTGCACCGGTGTGTTGGAAGATTTTGTGCAACGTTTTGTGTAATTACTTAAATAAATAGCCGAACTTTAGTAGTGTTTAATATATCAGTTGTGTTAAGTTGCTGTGTGTAATAATTTAATCTTTCGGAGACAAGTCATATTCGCGTCTTTTTTAAATCGTTATTGTTTGAAGTATACGATATGTACAAAGCCATATTTTTCATGATATGCAAGGCAAAGTAGGGTCTAAGCGGCGGATAGAATAAGGGACCGCGAACTTATAAAATCATGAGTTCGAATCCACCATTTAACTACTGTCGTGTGGTCGTGAATCTGAGAACTGGGGACCCTTTTCACTGGAAACGAGGCAGTCCATTTTAGTCCTTAGCGTTGACAACGCATGTGCATTTTGATTTTTAATCGAGGATAAATGTACGAAATATAGGCCATACTTACCATCAGGCGGACTGTGTGCTCGTTTGTCACCATTATTCTTTTAAAAAAACGCTGAATGCGCGTGCCGATGTTTCACAAAATAATTTGTTTCTTAAAATGTGTTGATTGACAGCATGAAGCCTGCATGTCTCGTTAATCTAGACCCAAGATCTAGACACTCGGCAGTGTGTGAGTAAAGTTAGGAAAAGTAAAGGGCGACTTACTGGTAATAGGTATATACGGGTATATTAATGAACCATATTGGGCTTTTAAGTATTAATTTATTAAAATTGTCTCGTTATATCGCTGCCTTTTGTCAGCGAAGCCGGCAACCCCAAACTTCGTTTAAGTTAGCCTTCTTTTCACCATTGAGATATAATTTATAACTCAATGCTTTTCACATTTATATTTCAACCGACCTTATTTTTGACCTTTTTACCACTTGTTTATTAAGGTTTTTGGTGAGAGAAAAACGCCTATAATTTACATTGGAGTGATGCGGTGGTTCCTTTCCTGAATCAGAATTTAAGAAATGCGTGGATGGCTGTACCCAATAGTAAGACGCATTTAGGCATTTAGGCTACAGATTCCCTCTAAAGATTCTCTCCAATTAGCTTATTTTTATTTATTCAGACTTTAATATAATTAAAAGTTTACATTATGTTAAAGTAACATAACAAAAAATCACCAGATGGAAATCAAAATATCATAATTTAATTTTTAATAAAATGTACATTGGTAATTCAAAGGGCAACAACTATATAGAATGTTAGCTAGTTACATTAAAATCTCTTATCTCCTGTTTCTCCAACCTTAGGGATGGATTTTATTTTTTTTAATTTATACGGGACCATCCATGAAGTATTTTTAACATCCGTCTGGAAGTTGATGCTATTTATTATAAAATAATCATTTAAATCTTTTCATATGTTCCCGAGAAATAGATGAACTTACAAAAAACATTCGCGTTGAATATATGTAGAACCTTTGCCTTCGCATTTTTCGCAGAATTCGGTTGAAAATTAATTTATATTAATATTAGACAAATGTCCAGTGAATAATTTGCGAAAAATATTAATTCAAGTTTAAAAAACGCGGGAAACATGACAGCTGTCAGTACGTTCGGATATTGTCTATGCATTACTTTTGTGTTCACGGAGGTTGCTTCATGGACGACCGATTTGGAAGAAGTGAGGAGATATTTTGATCATCAAAAGCAACACGACGACTATCATCACCATTTGAATGGCTATAATGACGATAATTATGAAGACTACGATGGTATGGAAGGGCAGCATGGCAGGCAATACGCTGAGGATTATGGATACGAGACTTATATGGAAGGGAAGGTAAGCTTGTGTTATGTTTGGGTTTGTTTTGAAAAAAGTTTTTTTTTAAATATGTAACGATCCACGGCTTTTTTGCCACCAGGGCAGCGGCACTTAGGAATAAAGTGAAATATTTGTAAGATTTCATTACGGTGAAGTTAATTGGTTCGAAAAATGTAAGGGTTAATGTTTCTCTCTAAAATATTAGTTATATTAGGGTAAAGTTAAAACCTATATACGTCCCACTGCTGGGCTGTGCCCATTTTCCTCTCATTTCTGAGAAGGTTTTAGGAAGTGTCCGCTGCACTGCCCCAATGCGTGTTGGTACTTCACATGTCTTCGGGGTCGATGGTACAAATGGGCGTGCCTCAAGGCTCAACTCTCGGCCCCTTTCTGTTTCTTGTATACATTAATGACTTACCTTACACGGTAAGGGATAACCATGATATAGTATTATTTGCTGATAACACTTCTTTAATTTTCAAATTAAGACAACAGTTACTAAAATTTGACGAAGTAAATAATGCTATATCTAAATTAGTAAATTGGTTCTATGTTAATAATTTGCATTTAAAGGGCACTAAAAGGAAATGTATGAAATTTATGACTCCAAATGTCAAACAATTAAATACTAATGTAATTTTAAATGGCGAGAACCTGAGTCTGGTAGGTACCACCATTTTTCTTGAAATCACACTAGACGCGAAGCTTCAATGGAGCCCCCATATATCAAAGCTAGCAAGCAGACTTAGTTCTGCAGCATATGCTGTAAAAAAGATTAGAAATCTTACCAGTGTTGAAACAGCTAGACTAGTTTACTTTAGCTATTTCCATAGCATAATGTCGTATGTTATTTTGCTATGGGGACACGCAATTGACACTTAAATTTTATTTGTTTTACAGAAGAGGGCCTTAAGAGCAATTTATGATTTAAAGCCTAAAGAGTCGCTGCGACAAAAATTTAAGGAAATATATTAACTTTGGCTTCCCAATACATTTATGAAAATGTAATGTGCGTACACAAAAATAAAAGTAGTTTTACAAAAATAAGTGATATTCATTCTGTAAATACTAGGAACAGACTTAAGCTAGTAGTACTAGTTACTCGACTCCACCGAGTCAGTAATTCGTTCTGGAGGCGATGTATAAGCTTTTCAAACAAAATTCCAGAAAATATACAAAATTTGACCTGCAAAGTTCAAAACTTTATTAAACTAAGTTTTTATAAAAAGAGTTATTATGATATTAAGGAATTTATGGATGATAATGACTCCTGGAGATGAGGTGATCGCTACAAAGCTATTTCCAATTTTTTTATTGTGTAACATACATGATTGTAAGATGTTATTTAAAAAAATGTCCCGCTGGGTTTCTTGCTGGTTCTTCCCAGGATAGAGGTTCTTTTTCGAACCAGTGGTAATTAAACAAAAGAGTGACTTTCAATAAGTATTATTTATAATCTATATTGAATAAAAAAGTTTGTGTTTCTGTTTCTGTTTCGTTTCGAAATACTTTTTTTTTCTTATTTCTCAGACATGCAGGTTTCCTCACGATGTTTTCCTTCATCGCTAAGCACGTGATAAATAAGCACTTAAAATTGTTACTTAAACTTGGAATTAAAAATTTGATTCCGGGGGGATCGAAGTATTGTGAAACTTACAGCGAGCGCTAACCATCTGAGCTACCACGGCTCTTGTATACACTGTGTTATATATTAATTTTTAAAAAGATAAATAATTAAAAGAATCAGACGTTACTTAGCGGAAATCCATTGTATTTAGGTTGGTAAAAATTGTATTATATCCGCTTAATGAAATAAAATTATGTGTCTTACCTAGTTCGAACCCTCCCGGGCGAGAGGTCCTCTTGTGGTGGTCAGCTCTTGTGGCTGATATGTTTAGGTTTGTTATGACCTATTCGCTCCGAAGAGGGTTTTAGTTGTATCTATTTTTAACCAGGCATGGCGTACATATCAATACGTGGTAGAATGCTACAGCTGTATTATAGCTAATGAATAGATGAACTCGAAGGGGAAGGGCCACGCTAGCACAGAGTAGAATACCAGCGTAAAATAGCAGCTTAACGCTGCTGTGTTTAGTATGGTGAGTATAGACAACCGGAGACCCTTTTTACTGGAAATTACGAGGCATTCCATCTTAGTCCTCAGGGGTGACAACCCATCTACATTTTGATACGTAATCGAGAATAGATGTAGATATCTATGGGTCACAGCAACCACTTACCATCAGGTGGAGTGTGCTCGTTTGTCATCCTAATTCTATAAAAAAAAAGAATAGCTATCAGCATGAAATGCCAGCGAAACTACATACTGTTGTGTTTCGTAAGGCAAGCAAAAAGAACCCGAGACCCTTGTTACTTAAAACGTGACATTCTTAGCCCTTAGAGGTGACAACACAACAGCATTTAAATTTTAAATCGAGACTTACTCGTAGTTGCCTATGGGCCACAACATCCACTATCCCTCGGATGAACTGTGTACTCGTTAGACAACCAAACTTTAATATAAAAGATGATTAAATATATTATCGTAAGCCATAAAATCTCTCCAGCGTATCCCACAGTTGCCCTCACGATCCCCAAGGACCAAGCCCAGACCAAGAGCACATGACAAGAACGTTTATACTGTTATAATTTTGTAGGTGCACGGGATCATTCGCAAAGGCACTAAGTACTTGGAAGGTTTGAAGTTGGCGATGGAGAAATATAAGCAGACGATAGAGAATTGCAGTAGGATCGACTTCACAGCGGTATGTATCTCAACTTTCAACTACTATATTGGTTCTATTCTGGGTGGAATATATTAAGATTATTTAAAATACATTTCTTAAATAATCATCAGTGACCATTTATTTTATCAAGTTTTACATTTCACAAAAAATATGCTCCAAGTTTTTCGGATAAAATATAGCTAATATCACTTCTGGCGTTACTTTCTCTTCGTTTATGAAGTTTCATCACAGTCGGTTCAACTACTACGAAGATTAATTCTAACAGATAGACACAAAAATTTACAAATATTAATTCATGACCTCAGCTTGGGCTTATGTGGAAGCTGGTGTGTCGCAAGGCGTTATTTTTTTCTATATTTTTTTATATGTTTATAATCTTTATTAGTTTCATCTGCGATTTCTCGTACCATTTGTTTGCCGATGACCTTCAGCTATACGTGCAAGCTGAGATTGGCGATATCCATAATTGGATTAAAAAGGGACAACTCTCACAGAATACCACCGTAAAATAGCAGCTTAACACTGCTGTGTTTCGTATTGTAAGTGTAGAGAACCGGAGGCCCTTTTTACTAGAAAAGAGACATTCCATCTTAGTCCTCACGGGTGATAATGCATCTGAATTTTGATTCGCAAACGAGGATAGATGTAGATGTCTATGGGCCACAGCAACCACTTACCTTCAGATGGACTGTGTGCTCGTTTGTCACCCTATCCTATAAAAAAAGAATTTATCAGCTATCAAAGATGGGTTATGAAGTTTTGGTCAATCCTTTGAAATGCCAAGCTATACTGATACACACAAAGATGCTAGCTGAGATTAATCTTGCAGACTTACCTTTTTTTATAGGATAAGTGTGACAAACGAACACACAGTATACGTGATGGTAAGTTGTTGCTGTGGCCCGTAGACATCTACATCTATCCTCAATTAAGAATCGAGGGATGCGTTATCACCCTTGAGGACTAAGACGAAAGCCTAGTTTCCAGTAAAAAGGGTCTCCGGTTCTCTACACTCGCCATACGAAACACAGCAGTGTCAAGCTGCTATTTTACGCTGGTATTCTATGAGAGCGCGGTCCTTCCCCGGTCGAGCCGACCCATTCGTATACTATACTACTAATATTACTAATATAGCTGCAGCATGAGCATGACTATACCACGTACTGCAGCATGAGCATGACTAAACCGTACCAAACCTACTATTTGATATTATAATTCCGTTCAGTAATTTTGTGAAAAATCTTGGCCTACACATCGACAGCACACTGAATTGGAGAAGTCAGGTTTCAGAAGTGTGTCGTAAAGTCATTGCCACGTTATGTTCTCTATATTGTTTAAAATATTTTCTTCCCACAAAATCTAAGATCATGCTTATCCAATCGCTCATAGTACCCATAATTGATTATGCAGATGTGTGTTACTCAGATCTGTCCCAAGATTTTCTGAACATGCTGGAACGCCTTCTAAATAATTGTAGGTATACGTAAGATTTATTTTCGGTCTTCTTTAGTTTGACCATATTTCGCAATATAGATCTAAGCTTATTGCTTACAGTCCAACAGAGGCGCAATTCCACAATATCATCGTCACTGGTTACACGCTTCACCATCAAGTAATCTCGGCACATTACTTGATAGGGAAAGCTTACGCATTGCCTTAGGAATCCGACTAGGAGCGGCGGTTTGTCAACCCCATCAGTGCCCCTGTGGTAACAGCGTTGACAAGTTTGGGCTCCACGGACTTTCATGTAAGAAAAGCGCTGGTAGGTTTTCACGACACAGTTCTTTGAACGATGTCATCCGAAGGGCTCTTGCCTCTATAAATGTTCCCTCGGTTTTAGAGCCTTGTGGAATATTTAGAGACGATGGCAGGAGACTCGACTGTATGACATTGGTACGACAACATTCAGCGGGGAAACGCAGCCAGCGTTCTTGGCACGATACCGCGGGGAGTAGGACTATATGATAATTAAGTTTCTAGTTTTAGTTTTTTTTCATTATCATAGTTTTCCACAATATTACTTCTTCTTTTTTCCATATAAAATGATCCATCTTCGCCTTCTTACTCCAAGAGTAAATTTCACTATCTCTCCTCATTTCATGATAGGGTTCTTTCTAAATTTTTTTTTCTAACAACAAAAATATGTATCCCTGTTTATTTCACCGAGTTTTATGGTAAATCCTTTGCAGTTCCGGCTACACGTCTGTGGAACTCCTTGATTTTTAAACTTAAACGTCAATCATTTAAATGTGACGAAGTGAATAATGCTATATCAAAATAGGGCATTGGTTTAACGTTAATAATCTGCATTTGAACGGAAATAAAACTAATTGTGTTAAATTTACAACAACGAATGTTAAAAATCTGAATACCAATGTGTTCTTAAATGGGGAGGAATTGAGCCCTGTTGTATCCACTGTTTTTCTTGGCATCACTCTTGACGCAAAGCTTCAGTGGGGCCCCCATATATCCAAATTAGCAAGCAGACTAAGTTCTGCAGCCTATGCTGTAAAAAAGATTAGAGGTCTCACTAGTGTCGAGACAGCTAGATTAGTTTATTTCAGTTATTCCATAGCATAATGTCTTATGGGATTTTGCTTTGGGGAAATGCGGCTGATTCAGAAACTATTTTTGTTTTACAGAAGAGAGCCATTAGAGCTATTTACAATCTAAAACCGAGAGAATCTCTTAGAGATAAATTTAAAGAAATAAATATATTAACTTTGGCCTCTCAGTATATTTACGAAAATTTAATGTATGTTCACAAAAACAAAGATAGTTTTAGTAAAAAAAGTGATAAACATTCTGTAAACACTAGGAACAAACACAAGCTAGTGATGCCAGTTTCTCGACTCCACAGACTCAGTAATTCATTCTTGGGGCAATGTATACGCTATTACAACAAGGTCCCGGAAAGTGTACAGGCTCTCTCTATTACCAAGTTTAAATGTTTTATTAAACTGAAACTGTATAAAAAGGGTTATTATAGTATAAATGAATACATGGTTGTGGTTGATAATAACCCCTGGGAATGAGGTGGTCGCTTCCAAGCAGTTTCTAAAATAAATTTTGTAAATAGTTCGTAATAATTTGTATTGTAAAATTTATTTTAAAAAAAAAGTCCCGCTGGGTTTCTTGCTGGTTCTTCCCAGGACAGAGGGTTTTTTTTCGAACCAGTGGTAAAGTAAAAAATGACTTTCAATAAGAATTACACATGTAATGTATATTGAATAAAAAATTATTCTATTCTATTCTTGCCTGATGACATCAGTAAAGCTCCCAATCCAAAGTATGGTTTTAAAAGTTGGTATGTCATTGATTACAGTATAATGCTGCAATTTTGCACGGATTTTGATGTTTTTCGCTCGTATCTCTAAACCAATTTATTATTATAACTTTTAATGGACTTTATATGGAAAACAGACCTTATGCCTTGGCAGGTAGTAATAAAATATTTTTAATTCATGTTGTTCTTCCGAGTTACAAGAAAGTCGTAGGCAAAGTTGTATGTAAAAGACGTAACTTTGCCTAGAAGGATATTTCAATAAATATTATGTTGATCTTTCCAGTATTTTTTTTCGTTTGCATGAGACACCGTGCAGGCCCCACCAGTTAAATTATTGAAACGAAGGAAATATTTTTTTTTTCACAGCGAATAGGCAATGTTGTAGCAGGTACCACAAACTTTCCATACAAAAATATCGTTGACTTTAGGGTTGCCCAAAAAACACAGATAATTTTTTTTATACTTTTTTAACTTTTATAAAAATTAAACACATTGCTTCTTATAAGTAAAAATAACAAACGCTTTTTGGCAATAATGTCTCATAATTATTAATATAACAAACAATAAATTTTTGTAACATGGCTTTACCAGAAAATATTTAAGTTTGAATGAGTTTGAAAGTTCGAATATTGTACTTTAATTAAATTATAATAAAATATCATAAATTATGTGGGTAACAGTCTAATAATATTAAACAACTTTAACAATTGAATAAGTATAATAAGGTAACAGTCTTCCTTCTTCTAGCTAAAAATTAAAATTAACAATGTAATTAAAATTTCGGAAACATCGTAGAAACAATATTTAAAGCTTTGGTACAAAACAAACATATATAAAAATATTGGAAAAACAACCTAATAATAGCTACCCGTTCTCTCTAAAATCGTGTCTCCATATTTCTAGAAGCACCTAATATAAAAAAAAAACGATTCTCCCTTCCAAAAAACCTAAAAGTGCAGGCGGAAATATTTATGTTAAACAAAATACTGTTTTAATAAGTAGGTATTAAAAGTAAGCAAGTTTTAACCATTTAGATAAAGGAAATACGAATATACGAACGATAAACATACGAACTATGGTTACGTTATTATAAAAACAAAACCTGCAACACAGAAAGTACTCAAAACATTAAAAAATTATGTAAAATAAGTTCAATCAAAACTACAAAATTATTATTCAAAGTGCGATAGCGGATTAGTATTACTGAATTAATCAGCTTGACTACTCTCATAGTAAAAAGATTGAAAATGTTCGTCTTATTGTTAGTTTGGTATGTTATAAAATTTTTATTATTGTATGTTATATTTATCAAAATCTAAATTAAATATGAAATGTCCTCGTCGGGAAATTTGGGGATCAGGTAAAACTGCAATAACATCTTTTAAATCATGTACATCACATATGTCTTCAATGTTAGGGTAGGTGAATACTGTTCCCTTAACACACTTAGAACTTTTTACTTTTCGTAGAAGTTTCACTTCGGGAATTTGATTATTTATTGATAAAACCTTCCCTACAAAATGTTTAACACCTTTTTTCGAAGCAAATTTAGCTATTATCCAGCTGTTTTCTTGAAGTCCAAGAAAATCGTCAACATAAAAATCAATATCACTCAATCCGAAATGTTTTCTTGTTCTTCTTGTTCTTGCAAACATGATGCAATGTAATTATCAAAATTTTCATAGTCGGAATCGTCTGCAGCTTGAAACGAAGTTTCCGATGTCAGGCTTGA